AGCAGATGCAATCATATCAGTTTTACTTAATTTTTAACTTTGAAGCAACTAATTACCTGTAACACTCATGTGAAATGGCATTGCAAATAGAGGGAAAAAAAAAAACAAACCAGTCAATTCGGATTAGAAATTATATTCCTGTTGCCTCCAGCATTCTGAAACCAGTTTGTGACCTATCTCATTTTGGCATTTCAATTCCTAAAGGTGCCTATTCCAAGTCAGGATTAGCAGGGCTCTGACTTTGCAGACTTCCTACCGCTACAACACTCAAGACCTTCCAGAGCATATGCAGTAATCTGGACTCTGGACCCACAAAAACCTAAGTATCAGCAGGCTCCACATCACGAACAGACCAAAAGAAAAAATCATCCAGAACATGAAGAATTCTCTTGAAATAAAGAACTGTGATGTCAATTCATTTCACTACAAGAGAGTTAGGATTTTTAAATCAGTATCATCCATGTTTCCAGTTATGCCACAGAAGTCAACAAAAAAAGCAATTGTTGAAGGATGACAAAGAAAGCTTTCTTCAGAAAATGATGGTGCATAAAATGCTTGATGCCAAAATTCTGTCAAATAATTTATGCAGCAGCTGTTTTCAAAAGAAACATTCATACACACAGCTATGGGTCTGAGGTCAGGTGAGGATGGGATAGGAGACAGAAAGCTTGAGCAGGATGCTTGGCTGGTGGAGAAGCAGCACTTAAAAGTAGAGTCCCTATCTGACAGTTTAGGGCCTTCTCTCAGAAGCAGTTCCCCCAGTAGCATCCCTCCTAAACTCAAGCAAGAGGTTCATTATCTGTTTTCCTAAATAGAGACAGGAGGGATCACGGAACTTTAGCCACAGCAATATAACTCACTCATTTACTTACAGGAACTTATTTAAAATTAATACACTTTCTCTTTTCAAAGTCTTTTTACCACTCCATTTTCTGTGGTACCTAAAGGTTTTAGATCTTTGGGGAGGCAGCAACAGGCAACTTAGAGGCCACTGTACCTGACTAACTGGTCTCAGATTTCTACAGAAACACCTCTGCACTCCAAAGCACTCTGTGAATGCCTGCAGGGCAATCATCTTTCACACTAACAGCTCCCTAATGACACACTTGCTGCAGTCCAATAAAGCAGTTCATTTGCCACAGACTTTTCTTCTGCATACATCTTTTTCAGACGGACACAGAGATCGCCCACACAGTTGTCTGCAATATAAGCAAACCACGGGGGAACTAAAACAAGACATTTATCTCATAGAGAGAAAAAAAAAAAAAGAAAAAAAAAGACAATTAAAGAGCTGAATTCTATAGCTAATATGTAATAATTGAGATTTGACCAGTGCTAGATATCACATGCAGAGTTTACATTTCAACTTTTTTTTGAGTACTGTATCTTTTCCTTCCTAAACCCACCATTTCCCCCAATCCTCCCTTCCCTGAAATACCTAAGACAGGCTTACTGTCCCTGAAAAATAACTGCACTATAACTAGTGCAATTGTTACACATTCAATGTATTTATAGGAAAACACATTTCGAAAAGTGAGGTACTACTTCTAAACTGGAGTTCCTGAGAACCTCAGAAGCACAAACAAAAACTTAGCAGTTACCAACACAGTAGTTCAATTAAAAGCAACATGGACCAGTCAAAGAATATTTGTGCAATGCTTGCAGTTAATGAACTGGTACATTTTAGACATGCTATACAGTTTATGTACAGTTAATATTTATTAAGTTTAACCTTATTTATTAAATATTTAATGTTATATATAAATATATGTATTATTTTATCATAATATTATAAAATATTAGGTATTTCATTTATTTAACCCATTCATTAAGTATTAATCTTCACTTCAAGTATCCACAACTCTAAGATTCTGAAGAGTCCTACAACGACAGGATGGCCAATCTTACCACATATATCCCAAGCATCAACAAAAATGGAAATTAAGAATGGAAACTGATGGAAGTACTGTTGTTTCTAAGCGAAATAAGCTTTTCTCTAAAAATACAGGTAGCAAAGAAATATGATGTAACTGAAATGCTGGGTATAATGCCGCCTCAAAGCCAAGTACCATATTTTCTGAATGACACTCTTGAGACTCTTAGAACTAGTTCCATAAAATAAAGGAAACTTAAGAATGTGAACTGACCACTCACATCATTTTCCATATACAGTAACTAGAGTTATTAAATTGAAATATTCTAGCGTAACAATTATTAACTCCCTTTTTGAGCCACTGTAATATTTCTTCTTCCTTGTACCACACGACTTGAATGTTTCATTTCACAGAGTGATTTATAAATGTCTAAAGCAGAAAAAAAAAATTTAATTCAAAGTACACCTAAGAATTAGCCTACTGGTAAAGTTAGTCCACAAATGCCACTCTTCAGTGTTGAAAGGAAAGAGTTCACCTAGGCCTGCCTCAGCTCTGGAGCAAACTCGCTGAGCATGCAAGATACACCAAGTGCTGCTTTAATGGGTCAGTATCTTTCAACAATCAGTACTTTCTTCAGAAGTTTGTATAAAGCTTTGTTTACATTTACAAACTTGAAAATCCTCCCTTTCCTCTACTCCCACGGACTCCTAATGCAATACAAAGTGATAGGACAGCTTTGATGTACTTACTTAGCACGTCCAACAGAAAGACATAATGCCTTAAACAACTTTCCTCTTCACTTCTGCCAACAGAAGTGCCCCTTCTCAAAAAGCAGAGAGACTGCTGAAGAAAGGCCGTATACCTATCCTAGCAAAGGCTAAAGAAATTTTCTTTACAAGAAACTGCCCTCTAATGTCATAACCTCTACACTTCTTACCCCCCTCTAATTTTGTTCCTTGTAGGTGGATCCATATCCTCACTCTCTGTACAGCTTCGCCCAACGTTCTGTGAAAGTTTTCTTCTGGCAGTTCTACTACCATCATCAAGTCCTGCAAAGCTCTCTACTGCAATGGCAGAAACAGTCAGACCAGAACTCTACAAACACTTTTATACTTTTTCTTTCAGTCAGCACTCAAGGAAAACTCTCTGGACAGCTCCTGACAGACATGTCACACCATGTCATTTTCCACGCATTTTCTAAAGTTGTTTGTTATGCTTTCGCTCTCCAGTCTCACAACCTAATAGAAGAGCCGTGCCGCTTCAGGACAAAGCCTGGAAACATGCCACTGCCTTGCAATTCCCCTTTGCTGGGATGTTGCTTATCTGGGAACACTGCACTGACTTGCAGTTTATTTTTCTCACAGTCCCTCTTACGCTAAATCAATAGATCAATAGAGGTGAGTCTTACAATCCAATGAACAGTTACCACTTGCCCCATCCTTAACGATTAAAAAAACCCCTTGATCACAGTAGCCGTCAGGTTCCTGTGCTCCATCCCCAGGTCCTCCCTCGTGGCACACACACGTTGCCCGGCAGCGCGGTGCCAACGCGCTATCTTAGAGCTGACAGCAACAACCGCAGCTCCACAATCTTCCGAGCGCGTCAGACGCATCCCCCAAAACACAAACACGACGGCAGGCATCTCTGATGAAAGCGAAACGAGAGCGAGATGCAGGGGCACGTCTGAAGCCTGACACAAACCAGTCGCAAAGGCAGAATTAATTAAAAACTCAGAACTGCCACTCCCATGACTCAGTTTAAAAAAAAAAATGAATCTTTCTAAAAGCCTGTACCAAAAAGAGGAACATGAAATACTTGTCTAGGGTGTTACATAGACTGGAAAAGACAGCTTAATAGCACCTTACAACTGAAGTGATTAGTTGTGTTGGCACAGAGTCCAAAGAGGGGTTTTTTTTCACGTTCAAATTAAGAAAACTGACAAAAGAGAAGCGAATTCCACCAAGCTGAAACTAAAACCTCTTATCTGCGCTAAACTTTAAGAGACAAAGTTAATTACAAATACCCACGACTTGTACAACACATTAATCCATTCAAAAACAATGCACAAAGGCTCATTCAGGGCCCCTGCGCCCATTACGTCGGTCAGTACTTAAGGACTCTTAAAAACGCACATTTGTCGAAAACAATAGACAGCAACAGATGCTCCACAGCACTTGTTTATGAAGTAATTCCTTATTATTCCCCCGCACCGCCGCAGTCAGCTGGCCCGGCCCGGCTGCCACATGTCTCCTCCGGTGTACCCTCGGCTCCGCGCCGCCGGGGACATCAATAATGCACGGGGGCTGCGCGGGCACGCGAGGCGCGCTCCCGGCACGGCCAAGCCACCCGGGGGTGGCCGCCCGGGCCCCGCTCCCCGGCGGAGGCGGCGGGCACTCCGCACACGGGCGGCGCGGTGCCGCCAACCTGCCGCTGCAACAAGTCGCCTGGTGCTCCTTCGCCCACCCAGGGCTGCTGCGGGCGGGCGGGCTCCCGCCCCCGCTCCCGCCCCCGCGCTGCCTGCCCGCGGCCCCGCCAGCAGCCGCCCGCTCCCCACCTCACCTGGGGCTCCGCTCCCTCGGCGGCGCCGGGCGAAGCGGGGGGACGAGCCCCCCGGTGCGTGTGGCGCGGCGCTGTCCGCTGCTGGCGGGGCGGGGCGGTGTGTCCCCCCCGGCGCCCCCTCGCCGCGGGGCAGGAGGCGCTGCGGGGCCGCCCCGCGCTGCTCGGCGGGGCCGGGGCGCGGAGCGCGGCGGGCGCTGTGACAGCTCCGCAATATGGCGGCAGCCGCCGCCGTTCGGATTTTCCCCCCTATCAGATGTGGCTGCTGCTCCCGCAGTGCGCACGCGCGGCGCGGCCGGGCATGCGCGGCGGGCGACGCGAAGCCGGCTGCCCGGAGGGGCGGCGGCCGTGAGGGGTTCCCGCGCTGGGTGGGGAGGGACGCGGGGAGTGCCTCCTGTGCCGGGCACGGTGAGGGCGGGACACGGGGCTCCCGTGAGGGCACGGCAGCGAGCGCCCGCCCTGCGAGGTGGCAGGCCCTCTGCACCGGGCTCTGCGGCGCTCGGGGACCCCGCGGCACCCGCCCGAGCGCAGCCCTGGGCCGTGTGGTGTGTGTGCCTGTTGCCCGCTGCTCCAGAGGCACAGCTGACCTCTTGAGTGAGGAGGGGGTGAGGAGAAGGGGCTCTCCCGTTAACGCAGCCGGGCGGCGGGAAAGGAAACTTCGGTGAAGCCAGAGCCACGGAAGAGACGGTCGGCAGCGTGGGTGTTTCCCGTCCGAAGCCCGCCAGAAATAGTGCCGCCTTTTTGGCAGCGTGCGCTCAGGGGGCGCGGTGGGAGGACGGGTGTTTCGCCAGATAGAAAGGCACGGAACTGGCGATGTCACCAGTGCTGGGGTGCAGCGGACAGGAGCGGGGCTCGGCGTGTGCTGAGCCAGGGGCTGGGTCGAGCTGTGACGACTCTAGAGGGATACCTTCAGAGTAAGAGCATGGAACGCAGTTTGAATGGAGAGTGCTGACCCTCTTCCCCTCCTCCGTCTCATCGCTCTCTTGTGTGAAACAGTCGTGCTGGGGGATGGGATCACACTTTTTTTTTTTTCATGCACATATTTTCATTTTTTTTGTGTACAGTCCCAATGGGGACAGAGAAGAAGGCAGTAGTGGGGAAAATCATTCTGAAGGACAGAGAGGTTGAGGCAATCCCAGCCCCCACTGTGTTTTCTCAGTTTATTTTTGTTTGCAAGAAATGAAGGTGCTGCTTGAGCTCAGTGGCAACCCACCAAGGGAGGCCAAACAGCAAAGCTCAGTGCAAAGGGATCCACTTGAGCTACCAACTCTGAGTCATGCTGCTGCTATTAATACACCTTGCCCTCTGGCTGTCTGATAAAGAAAGGTTGGGGAAAGAACTATGAGGAATTTTCAATTTAAAACTGCTTCCAAAAAAATTAACATTCTAGGATGAATTTGAGGTGGGGAGAAAGGGAAGAAGAGGAGAGCAGCCTGGCAGACAAGGAATAATCTCCCAGAGAATCTGTGGGAGCCTCATTGACTAATTTTTTTTGATTATTTGGACAAAACAATTCCAATAATTTAGATTACTACATAATACAAACCATGGTGAAATGATATTGGATTATATAAGCTTGAATTTAATTGCTTCTAGAGACATTGAATGCGTTTCAGGTATGATGATTTTATGCATTATATTGTATATTTGCAACAGGCATTTCTCTCACAGTCATCATCACAGAACCTGAACATCTCAGTCTATTAAAGGTATGCTCAATTTCTTGCCATGGACTAAAATTTCATTGCTAACTTTGTTTATGTCGTTTTGTTTCAAGGAAGAAGTGATAATGGATAATTCCTCCTTCTTTCTGTTCTTCATTGTGAAGAACATCCTGGCACGAAATAGAATATTTTGCAGTATGTTACACTTCTAAGTGTAACTTAAGTGTACCTTGCAGCCTCTACACAGTTTCACTGACCAGCCACCATTAGTGTGCAATGTACTGTTCCCTGTTCAGGCAGCCTTTTCCTGCAGGTCAGAATAAGGGAAATAAAAAAACACAAACAAACCCCTGGGAAAACAAACCCTGTTTCACTCAGTCACCTAAATGAATTAACTATGATTCACTGCAGTGCACAGATAAAATGTGTTTGCTTTAGTTGACCGAACTAAAGGCTTGCTTTTCTTCCAAAACAGTCTGTTCAAAACTGGCTCAGATATAGGACTATTCCACTAGGGCCCAGTTTCTTTACTAGTGTTGATAGCGTGAGGAATAAAGTTCCTTTCAGTTCCTGCATTATCACCGCAGGATATGCTTTATCTCTTATCCTGTTACATGAAGAATATTATTGCTCAAAAATGTCAAGATAAATAATAGCCTTATCTTTCTTGTCAACAGTATAATGTGGTTTCCTTCTCACCTTGCTTCCTTAACAAGGTGTAAAATTGCAGTTTGTATGATAAAACGGGCAGTAAAAACAGAAGTATAGTTAGAGATCGTGTTCTTTGTAGCCATGAAAATGAAACTACAGAAAGAGCTACAGGCAATAAAGAGAGCTTTCAGATACCCATATCAGCTTAAATTACACAGTTCTTTAAGAGGCATGTTATAAAGATAAAGGTAATGATAAGAATGCCTTAACTGCAAGACATAAAAGTTTATCTTCCAGCAGTAATGCCAAAACACAGCTCTTCATTAAAAACCAGATTTTAAACTTTCATTGCCCGATATGAGAAATCAATCCTAGAATCCCTTTTGAAAGTAAAGATTTCTGGGTAAATGCTTTTCCACTGCACCTGCGAAAGTGTAAAGCAGTCAGTAAAGACCCGGTCTTCACGATGTGTTAGAATCTACTTTTAATAAAGGGGCATTTACTAGACAAAGCATTTTGGAAAGGAGAACTAAGAAGAAAAATCACCATGGGGACTTTCTGATTTTTTTTTTTTAACTTTAAATGGTATGCTTGACTTTATCCTCCAATTCAATTAAGACTTATGCCATCAGCTAGGATAGAAGTGTAGTTCTGCTCATACCATATCCCTAATATGGAAAGCTATATGTGGACTTAGTCTACCAGCCTGGAACCTAGCCACTCTGGGAATATTTATGTATATGACTCAACACACACGTACTCAGCTATTAATATATTTACAGAAACTGACCTTACATTGTCTAAAATTATTGCAGTGTAATTTTACTGTTACTAATTGTATGGTGTAAAACCAAATTGTTTTTTCTTTTGTTAATATTTGAATAACAATAAAGGGATGTGTTGCCTTAATTGTTAATTTATTTTTCAAAAAAAGTATGTTAAATTGCCTTTTAAAATCTGCAGTAGAAACGAAGGGAATTTAAAGAATTTTGTGGTCATTAGATGAATCCAATTCACAGATATTTTAAATATTTGGTGAAGTTACAAGTCATAGTTTTATGTCTGTTGTTAAATTCGTCTGTCATTTAAAATGTAATGTATCTAATTCCAAAAATTATTTTTCATGCATGGTATTTAAAGACCAGATTTCAATAAAAATAAAAGGCTTCCAGTAGCAACACTGAGCATTCCCAATTGCCTTTATTGCCTGTGTATATACAGTCTCAGCTTTGATCAAGTTCAAAAGGCAAAATATGGTATGACCCTGAAGGATTTGTCTTTTTCCTTACTGAAATACCGCTGGTGTGTGAAGCTTACTTAGGTGTCCTCCAGGGCTGTGATCTTGCATTTTGGCAGCACCTCAACGAGCCTCAGCTCCAGTGAAGAAGTCAGGGAGTCCAAGTCCAGCACTCTTTGGCTGGATGATTGGATAGCACAAGTGTTTTGATGGAAGAGGACAGACCTAGTGTGCAAAAAGAAGGGGGATTCTGCCTCCTCTATGGAGACATGCAGGAAACATAAAAGCACCTGAAAGCCTGACCAAAGCACCTGGCAAACAGCAGTCAGGATCATCTACTGAAATGCAGCGCTGGCAGGTGGCTCCATGTCAGGCCGTTCTACCTGCTCATTTAATAACTCAGCTGGAGAGGCTTAGCCTCTAACATCGACTCTGAAACCTGACTGGCCAGCAGACACGTTTACCCTTGAGAATCTGAAGGGTTGTTTGCAAAAGTCTTTTCCTGCCGCTCAATCAATTCCTACCTGTGGAAGATTAAAGGGGAACATTGTTTCTCTTGATGACCGTGCCCACCAGAAGCCCAGGGCTGGGCTGAATGAGAAGCCCAAAGGCTTTTATCACTGATCATCTCTTACACAGGAAAACTTCTTCCAGTTACACATTTTTGGTTTTCTCTTGGGTGTTTAGTCTCTGGTACTACAGCAAAGATAACACAGTGGTGTCAGCCTCGCTTGGGGCCAAATTTTATTACCTTTTCTGCTCAAAACAGAAAGTAATAGAAGCACTTGTAGAGGAGTGTATTTTTTTAAGTGCCAAATATAGATCTCAGCAGTTCATTCTAAGTGAATCAGTATTTGCATCTCTGTGGTAATAATTTGCTAATTTAATTTTTATACACAAAGTGTGTTTTACGCAGCCCTTATCTTCCATCTATTATTTCTCACAGAATATTCAGAGTTGGAATGGACCCACAAGGATCATCAAGTCTAAATCTAAAGTGAATGACCCATATAGGGGATTGAACATGTGACCCTTGCATTATTAGCACCAGGTTTTAACCAACTGAGCTAATCTCAATGACCATTATAATTTTATGATTTGTTTCTGTAACTTGGTAATTGCAGAAGAGGCAAGTTAACAAATAAAGCTGCTTGCAATTAAAATTGGGGCAAGTTGTCTGATCTTGTGTGTCCGAGATGGGACAAATCAGCTCATGTCACTGCTCTTGTGTCATGTCACCCAAACATGCCTTCTCTGATACATAAGGTTGTCATCTAACAGCTGACATTTAGCTGCAGTTCCTGCTTCTGTCCACTTAATGTTTTTATCTTATTCACAGTTATAATTATTATGACAAGTACAAGTTGTTCCACAGTGACAACATTGCTTTTTTAGTGACAGCGTTTATTTTGGTTGTAATGTGGCTGTTGCTGTAGCACTGGAAATCAAAGCAATTCATAACCATGGAGGTATCCCATCAGCGAAATAATGTAAAGCATTTACAACTAAATAAAATAGTATGTAAGATACTAAGCACAGTAAAAGGCATGAATCCAGACAACAAATTTTTTGATTGAACTATTTCTGTGGGCAAAAAAAGGAATATGGTTACCAAGGAATTGGATGCAAGTGTTTGAAAACTTGAAAAGTGTGTACAACTGTTAGAACCAAAGCAAACACTTTTCGGTGGTTTTGTTGTTGGTTTTGTTTCTCCTAAGGTGCATGTACACTGTTCTGAGATACAGCCATACAACTCTGTGAATAAGTAAAATAATAATAAAGAGTAGAGTTTTTTACTAGGATTCCATCACTGAAGTATTTTTAGGTCCCGAACCCTTCTAATTTTATTGCATTTACTTGCCTCTTTATCAACAAGCAGAAATAAGCACAACTTTAGAAGGAGCGTCTAGAACTTTTCAACTATATTCTTAAGACTTTGTCACCTCCTAGTTCTACCAAAATGGATATGTCAAAACATCAAAACAGAAGTACATATTTTCCCATAATTCTAGACTTTTTTTTAAAGAGGTGAATTTCTTGGAATATTTATATATATGGGGGAGGGGGGAAGAGTGAAAATTGATATAGACTGTTCAGAACTGTATTTTCTGGATTTGGAAATTTTTGATGGTATGCCAGTAGCATCACAAAAGATGAAAAAATGCCTGCAGAACTAAAGGAAACACCTCATCACCTCTTTAAAGTGGATATTCCAAAACAGTCTGCCCAACCCATTTTATGAAGTAAATGTTTTAGTTAGAAGAAAACAGATGGCAATTTTTGCAAAGTTATTTTCAGCTAAACCTTAATCATGAAGCTCTACTTTAAAAAAAAAAATAGGAAAAATTCCAAAATGTCTCATCATAAACCTTATGTAAAGAGGTAGAGACTGAATACAATTCCTTTCTTTTTTTTTTTTTTAATGAAATCACTGACTTATTTCAGAGTTAATCTGTTAGTACTGAGTACAAGGTCTTAAATCCACAGACATTCTAAACTTCTGAAGGAGTTCAGGAACAAAAAGGCTGAGCTGACATTAGCAAAAGCATGTGTCGTTAAAAACAGATACAGCTCTATTGCTGAAGTGGATACCCCCACAAGTTGATTTTTTTTTTCTCATATCACAAGCATAGCAAGTGAGGAATGTATCAAGGCACTTCATTTGCTGAACTAGAATAGTATCAAAGCTTTATCATCAGCACACCTACAAAGATGTAATTTGGAATCTTGAAGGTAATTTAGCCCTACGAGCTCTTGCAGCAGCTATGTTGCAATCAAACCTTATTAGAATAAATCACCTTCCATTGAAGTTCATCAAAGAGAAACAAGGCAGGAAAAGGAGAAAGGCGAGATAAGGATGCTAAGATCTTCAGTGTGCTGTGTCTCCAAGTATATTTTTTAAGACTGTTTTTTTTTTGTTTTCACTGTGTATGAAGGAAGTCTGAAAGATTTAAGAGTATTTATTTGCTTTAGGAAAAAAAAAAACAAACCTTAAAAGATGCAGTCTTTGGCTATCCTTAAGGATACCTCAAAGGCAGTTGAAGAACCAGGCGGGCTACAATATTACAAGTACCAAAACAATGACATATGATTAAATTGAAATGGGAAATTAGTCCCCTTAAGGATCTAAATTCTGCTAGTGGTTTTCTATTACCTGGTGAACAGAGACTGAGAGGATGGTACATAAGGGCAGATTTGATATTTCAGATGCTGCTGAAGTTGAAATTCCAAAATAGTTAAGTTGCTCCATGAAACCATTGGCTGAGGTTGTGCATGCTGGGAAACAGAGCTCTGTGACTGACTGACTTGGCGCAGCTGTAATTCTTTCCTGTGGCTGAGGTAAACTTGAGAGCTCCGCCTGGTGTGGATTCCCTGTGGACCAAGAAGTTACAAGATTGCTCAGTCAATCCTTCCCAGCTGGTGACACCTCAGTCGTCTTTTTCTTCTTTCAGATTGTTATTTACATGAAATTTCTAGGACATTAATTTCTTGCAAGGCTCCTACCTTTGTTGTATTTGGTCGAAGTTGGCTCACAGGTTTTAAAAGTTATCAAGTAAACTTGCAGAGGAACCTAGTTTGATGACAAAATAGTTATAAAACTCAGATCCACTATGAAGGCAGAAGAAATACCAATCGCAGTGATTTATCTTGTTAAACAATGAACAAGGGGTTTTTTTTATATCCTGAACTAATGTTCAGATTAGACTGTCGATAACACATTATTAATTAGGATATTTGGCATTAAATGCTACTTGCAGCCCACATTGAAACCAGCAGGTTTGTTTACTACCTTTTCCATCTGAAAGTTCAAAATTTTGTTACATCCCAAACTTGAATTCTGGCAGTAGGTTGAACACCTGTCTGCTACATTCATCTCTATAGTTCAGTTGTTCATCTTTTGAGTTTAATTACATGAGATGAAGTATCCCTCCTGTGAAGACCTCTGGTTTGCTCACTTTTTACTTCTTTTAAACAAAATATGTTCCTTGTGCCCACTTAACAGATCAAGAGGAGAGTTACTCTGGTTGCCCTGCTGATTGCTCATTATCTTCTATATGGAATTTCTTCTACATGGAGCCAATCACAACCATTGTGGCTTTGCACAAAAATGAAAGTTTGGTAACTTGAAGATCTGCCTTTTCTTGCTTCTGTACATAATTTCCTATCATTTAAGTAGAGCTGAGATTTTTTTTTCCCCCCTCATTGCTTTAGCTGTGCCCAGCAAATTAATTTCTGTTGTCAATCTACAAAAGACTGGGGAAATTTCATCAATGTTTGTGTACAGGGAACACAATGGCAAAGTAAGTTTACACAAGGTAGAGAAGATAAAAAAATTATTCATGTGCATTATATGTTCACAATCTTGTTTCCAGAAAAAGGCAGAGCTATCAATGTAGACAGTACAGTACATGGCTATGATCAACAGAATGTTTAAGAAAACATCTCGTTCTTGCAGTCTAGAAGCCTATAGGATTAGGAGAAATTTGGATACAGAGTTAGAAGATATTTGCAGGAACTGAAGGGGAATGGAAAAAAGGTCTCTAACTGAATTAGAACTTTTTGCTTTAGAAATTAAATAAACTAGAAGAGATTCAATTATGCAGGCCTGAGGCTTAGGAGAGGAAAAAACCCCAAAACACTAACCAAACCAAAACAAACCAAAACCAGCCCTCTTCTGAGCACTGTAGAGAATTGGAAAACCAAGAGGGGGGTGAGTGCTCCATTGGCATGCTGTGCATAGATCAGGAGCTGAACAGAAATGAGCAGGCTTGAAACCTTCTTCTGAAAGGTTATGCTTTGTTAATAAGTTAAGACACTGAGAAAAAACACAGTATAAATTTGAAACTGTGATGTTATTGCATTAATGTGTGAAAAGCCTGGGCAAACTAACTCAGCGTAAATGTGCTCAAGGCTAGCAGTCATCTGAATCTGAAACCTCCCTTCAAGCCTGGGGTTGCAGCAGCTCCTAACAGGGAAAGATCTGTAAAAAAACAATCTTCCTGGGGCAACAAGTATTATTTGTGTCTTTACATGTGATCTCCTATGAAAAAGCACAAAATCACTAACAAGTGACTAACGAAAAGCAACAGCCAGAAGGATGGTCAGTAAGAAAGGGCAGCACAGGACTCAGGTCAACTAACCCAAATTACATAGTAAAGCTTCAACATACAACAGCCTAAATTGAGGCAGATGGTCAACCCATGAGATTTGACACTAAGTGCCAATGGACAAAGTATTACCTAAGGAGGTAGGTAGCTGAAATCAGAGGGCAAGTCTTAAATTATGACTACTGTCTTTTACGGAAAGTGTAATTGCTGTCCCATTTCCCTTCCTTTACTTTCCTCCTTTCTAAGTTCTGTTTTATTAGCCTTTGTAAACGGGAGGTACAGTATTATTTAGGCCCCTTTTTTGTAAATATTCCCTGTAAATTCTGCATCAGGGTCTAGCAAAAGGACTGTGAACATAAAAATAGCATAGAGAATGTGGTTTGTGAGCTTTAATTTTCTTAGTCTTGTAGTACAAGAGGAAGCAGACTCTGTAGCTGACAACTCATATATTTGAAACCAAGTGTTGTCTTTTCATCAAAGAACAAAATAGACTGTGAAACTCACTGCTTTAGGATGTTATTAAAGTCAAAATGCACAGCAGGAGTCTAAGAGGAAGAAAAATTATTCTCTTGTCCTAAATCACTGTATTTCTGGATACTCTTATTATTCATACAAGAGGAATTAAAAAAGCAAACAAACCAGCTTGAAACACAAAGTTTAAACAAATTAGTAATTAGGATGAAATCTCCATCACCCCAATTCTGTCAAAAATATGTTTGGGTTTCTTTTGGGTTTGCATCTTCTCAGAAGCTATGGGAATTGACAACAGTTACAGATACACAACTGGACTAAATGAACCTAATGCTGTATGGCAAGTTATATGCTTCAGTGAAATCAACATTTTCTTCGAAATAAAACTAGGTTTAGCCCACTGAGAGAGCATGTCAGTGATCAAACTGTACATGCCTTGAGGAAAAAACAGGGGAAGGAATCTCTAAGGTTTAATTCTGTAAAGCAAAGTTTCAAAGAGACTGCTGAAAAGCAAGTAATTGCTCCAAACTACCTTTTTCTGAAAGGTCAATTTTTAGTTTCCTTTAGGAGAGTGTATCCTTTAGGAGAATGAAAGAAATACATGTTACACAACTGTTCAGAAAATCCTTAATTACCACAGGAAGTCTGTTCTTTTAGGCAACTCAGGCTTTTGGGAAATTCATGATATTCACTATGAAAATGGTGAGCTGGATTCCTGTTTATCGTTCCACTTAGCAATTAAAATCTCTAACTTAAAAATGCGATCGTCAACTATTAAGATATCTTCGAAAGCACTGCCATTCCCTGTGGAAGGGTCTGCCACGGTTCCTCCCAAAATTCTCTATGGTTCACTATATTTGCAAAGGTTAATTCTGATATTTAATCTCCCATATATCCAAAATTGGATGGCAATAGTCCTGCTATACAAATGTATGGAAGAGGAGAGTCCAGCTCTCACTGTAACCTGCTTATCTTTCAAAGAGTAGCATAGTCACAATATTATTGCCAGTTGTAGCAGAGCAGAACACATTTTTGCTTACGTGTCTTTTTCATTAGTAGTTCAGCGATACCACTGAAACACCACATCCTGGAAAATACAGGGGGGTTATATTATTAAGGTGGTTTTACAAGCAAAATTAAGATATGCCTGAAGGCTGCTTAAGGGCTTTTAATCCAGATATTGTGAATAAAACCAGCAGCAGCACCGCCACCTGCACTGATGTGTAGGTGCATTCTGTACCCACTTCTTCATTTTGTTACATGAGAACTACTGCTGAAACTTCTTCATCAAGACTAGAGCCTTCAGAGCAATGCTTTATAGACGTTTCAGGCTGCCTTCAAGATGCTAGGATAACCAGATGTCATTTGCTTCTCATTACGTTTTCAAAATCCCCGGAAGAGATTTTTAATTGCTAACCTTTTTTCTTCATCAGTTTAAGATTCTCAACCTGCTAATCTGTATCTTAATATATTCAGAAATTGGTTCCAAAAATATCCATGTAGCACCTAATGTAATCTATTACTCAAAAGCTCACTACATTCTATTGCAGTAAATTAAAATACAGAGTAAAGTTAATCTCACAAGGCCTATGAGTCTTATTAGTAGTACTGGTCATTTTAGTGAAGGCGTTGCTATGCATTTTGGTTTGCAGAACTGGTGATCTAAGTTTTTTCAGATTCAGGGAAACCTAAACCACTGGACCAGAATTTTTCCTATGCAGTATGCAAAGCCACAAAGAAATCTGTGGAACAAGAAAGAAAATTCAGCAAACCAAGCAAAGATTGATTACAAAATACTGTTTACCCTAAATTAAGCTGTGACCATTAAATTTCTTTACACAAGATGTCAGAGCTCTAGCAAAAATCTGGGAAAAGAATACAGGATTTTCCCCAGATTTTTTTTCTTGTGAAGCAGAGGAACTTGAGGCAATTCTGGTTCCATATTTGGTCTGAGTGGGTGTATGTCAGCTGCCTTTTGAGGGATGCTCCATACTCTTCCTGCAGAATAGATGCATCCTGTCAGACATAAGCCCAGCCGTGCAGCATTAAGCCACCTGCTAGAGCATGGGGATCTGAGAGTCTCAGAGAACCTCAGAGGATGGTTCACAGTAAGTCGGCTCAGCCTTGGGTACCAGTCTGTATCAGTATAAAGACAGGATGCCCATGGGCTGCCCGTGAGCATTTCTGCAGGTGTCACGTGGGCTGACACCTGCATGAGGGTCAGACACACCTCCAGCGTGGTGCTGGAAGGTGGGTGCTGTTCTAACTGCTAAGTTCTGTTGTACTTCTATTAAAATATCATATACTTAAATAAACCTTGTGTTCGAGTTGAAGTATTTTTGATTCAGCAAAATTTGCATGTTTTGTAATAAAACAGATGTAAAAATCCGAATATTTTTCCTTTAGCTGTTGTGTGACATCTTGGTCTTTCATGCAGTAAAACTAGTCTTTTGAATACAACTATTCATATGTTCGCTGTGCCAGGAACATCTTTCATACACACCCTCTAAACTATTAACCCAAGATGGATAGCTACAAAAGGAAACAAGTTCAGTCTAATTAATTGGATGGCCCAGCTAACAAATGGCAAAGACACAAGGAGGCCTGCAATGACTGCAACAGTGGTGTCCCAGGGAACAGCCCTGCCTTCCCTTAAAAAACGAACAGTAATTTCTGGTAAAGCATTTGCTTCTCCATTATATAACTGAAGAGTTTCAAATTTCTCCTCCCAGAACAAGACAGCAGTCTACATATAAAAGCTGTCAAGTGCAAAAAATGCCAGTCCTGAAATCCCAACTGCAAGCAAGTCAGTGAGATCAAGATGTTACAAGGGAACTTTGAAGGACAGTTACTTTTAAGATTGCTAAAAGAAGTATCATGATTAATCACAGAGGGCATAAAAGCTAGAGATGGACTTTCCTTTACTTGTCTTTGCACAAGTCTCTGAATCGTGACGGTAAGCCCAGCTCTGAGCTGGTGCAACACAGCAGGACTATGCTAACTTCATAGCTATGTGCATTTAAATCACAGAATTCGGCCTGTTTTAAGACTTGAGAGCTGCATGATTCTGTTACCCTTGTTTCTATGTAAAAAACAGAAGTATATAAAAGAGCAAGAGGGTAGAGCACTACCTCAGCAGTTTGGAACGACAGTGGAACCGCTATGGGTTACTAACCCGTGCCCACAGCTTGGCTGAGAGCCCTCGGAGCAATGCAAGATAAACCTACTATATGATACATACACGCCAGCAGAGTGCTCTGCCTTGAAATAAGAGCCGACAGGCGAAGCCAGTGGAATACATTGGGAGCATTGTTTTATTGCTGCTTTACTGCTGAGATTGCTGAACGGTCATGAAAATGCCTGGCGCTGCTGCTGCACAGTTCCAGCAGGACATGACCTGCTGCGGGAGATGGCCGCACACTGCGTCTCTGTGGTGTGCAGCAGCAGCTTATGGAAATGCTGAAGGACTGGAAATATCAGACAAGTTCTCTCTATGCAACTGAGTTTACAGCAGTTACACTATTGCCAGGCAAACTAGCACAATTTAAAAGTAAATCAGAATTTCTACACCAGCATGAGCGTGTCAGCTGCACTAAACCCACATGGAAGCTGGTCCCAGGGAAGCAGAGCGGGCCATTGGCTCCTCACCCCAGCCCTGCTGGCCCACACTGCGACATGGGCCCCATGGCCTTGGGTCGCTTTATTCATTTCCCATGCTTAAAGGTTCTTGACTGCACACAGCAATCTTGGATTACAAAGGAGCAGAGGCTACATCTCAACTGTTTCAAGTGCTGCCAAGAAAAAAGGGGACTTGGGTCAAGCCCAAGCTAGCCAAGCACAGAATTGTCAAACCAAGGCTTTCAACAAATCACTTCCCAGAAAGTCATGAGACTAGCATTAAAAAGTAAAACTCATGAGGACTTAATAATAGTTTGGGGTTGTCTTTATTTCCTTTCCTTGTTCTTCTATTCAGGTTTCTCTTCAAGCCTGGGAAAAGAACTTCTTCCTTGCTTGGGTTTAGATTTTCAATTGCCAGCTGATTGCCAGATTTTGAAATGACATAAGAGAAGGAAATAAGTACAATATTTTAAAAATTACAAAGTTTAGCAACTTTGAAAACTACTGTTCACATTCCTGATGTGCTATATGTGCTCCTGGTGTGTCAGAGAGAAGGATCCTCATTTATAACTCCAGTTACACTGAAGAGCAGCATAACTGATAAGCTTACTACAGCCTGGATTCCCACAAAGTCCCAAATGTGCAACTACTTACTCGTAAACTTCTAGCTGGTTTTGCAATCTCTTTTATATTGTTAAGATATAACAAAATAAATTGTTATAAGTATATAAATTGTTATAAATATAAGATTAAGATCTCTCACATGCATAAATGTTTGCAGCATCACGGTGTGATTTTTGGGGCGGTCCTGTGCCGGGCCTGGAGCTGGACTTCAATGATCCTTGTGGGTCCCTTCCAACACAGGAAGGGTTCTATGGTTCTATGATTCTAACCTTGTCCTTCTCCACATGTACATGGAGGAATCTAATTTGGCCTCTTACAAAACTGCCAGTGTAAACCTTAAGAAGCTGAGTCCCAGCATTGCTTTATACACTGAATAGCATTATTTATCTTTCAGTCATATCACTTATGACTTCCAGTGACTGGGAACAACAGCAGCAAAATTTATTTGAAATTATAGCCTTTGACCAGAGAACATTTTGACTTATATGGATTTTATTCAGTCTCTTGCCAGCTATCCGCATTTTAATTTTTTATTCTAAAAATCTTTCCATTTCCTACTTTTAGATGGAAAAATCTCATGAACATTTTTTCTTCCCTACACTGCTGGGATGTGCAGCACGTTCAGGGCTGTGAGCAAGATGGAAGCCATGCTTGCTATGCCTCTTGGTGGGCACACAAACTTCCTGCCTCAGTACCTTTGCGTGTCACACTTTCTCTAAGAATCTTATACTAAAGCCTTTCTCATGTGTAATTGAGCTGCTTCCCATTACAAACCAATAGTCTACTACTAAGAGTAAATGCATTCTTTTGTAGACAAAATGTATTTTTCAAAGATAGTAAAGACCAGCATGCAGCACCTCGTACATCACTTGTCCACTCACTACTGACAGCACAGCATGTCTTGCAGCACCTCCAGCAATCAACATCCTTGCTCAATGGAGAGATTTTTTACACTTCATTGCATATGTTCTTACAAAACAATCATATGGACTTCTGGGAAGAGAGCAGAAGTGTGTTACTGATAGTTCATACCAGCATTACTCAGAGAAGAGAAGTGAGCACCAGTAGACAAGAAGAGTGGATATCAGGCTGTAATTCATTGTCAGCACCAATCTTGTGCGATTGGAAATGGTTTTTTCTTTCATTGGAGACACTAATTAATGTTGTTCTTTCTCTTTTCCTTTTTTTTTTTTTCCCTGTTAGTTTTTGCGAAAATCACCTCTATGAATCCACACCACACCTGACTCATGGACACTAGAAAAGCAAAAGGGAGAGGCAGAGAGAAGAAGGACTGTGTCAGCTTCACCTTGTATTTCTATAAAGTCATGGTACTTCATGCTATGGCTCAATGATCACAGTTGTTTTGTAAGAACATATGCAATTAAGTGGTTTGGGCTTGAAGGTACCTCAAAGATCATGAAGTTCCAGCCCACCTGCCCTGGGCAGGGACTCCTTTCACTAGACCAGATTTCCCAGGGCCCCATCCAACTTGGCCTTGAACACTCTCAGAGCTGGGGTATCTACAGCTTCTCTGGGAAACCTGTTCCAGTGTTTCACCCACCACTCTCTGACTAAAGAACTTTCTTCCTGACATCCAATCTTAATCTCTCTTTCAGTTTGAAGCCATTCCCCCATGCCCTATCACTTCATTCCCCTGTCAAAAGTCCTCCTCCAGCTCTCTTGTAGCCCCCTTCAAGTACTGGAAGGCTGCAATGAGGTGTCCCTGGAGCCTTCTCCAGGGTGAATAACCCCAACGCTCTCAGTCTCTCTTCATAGGAGAGGTGCTCCATCTTCATGGCCTTCCTCTGGACTTACTCCAACAGGTCCAGCTCATGAAGCTCGACAGAAACAGAATGATGAAGCTGAGGACAGAAGGTCGTGTGAATACCCATGCATTATCTTGCTGAAACTGTTCGCCATCTAGTGGTTTGTTGGCCTCCTACAAATACAAAATTAAAAACAGCAAAGAATTGGAGTATATCATTTCAGAAGGAAAAAAAATGTTTCTATTACACCTCTTCCCCAATGTGCAAGAACCTATTAAAAAAATATGAAAAATATGAAGTACCTCTCGCAAAGTGTTTACCATTAGAACGAACAAGCAACAAAAACCTGCACACGACCAAGGTGAGATTCAGAAAGAGGTTAGGTACACACCATTGGTAATTTTTCTCTCCTTTATTTCACTATTTCCTCTTATTGCGTCAAGATGTCCTGATCTAATTTGCTCCACCATTTTCTTCAAGCTTGCCCACCCAAAAACGTACATTATAAACAAACTACGAGGGAATTAGGATGGCTCTGTGTTTTGGGGTGGGAGGTTCCAGGGAGCAGCATGAGATGGCTACTCTGCAACAGAAGGTGTGCCAGGAGCCAAGCACAACACTGAGGTGGGTAAAAGCAGTCACCTCAACAACAAGGAGCCGGGATGCAGGGCCAATATTAGGTTGAGAGACAGTGGTCAGGGTCAGACACAGCCCAGCGGTCACCCAGCAGGGCCACAGTGGCAGGGCAGGTCCGAGACCAAGCCAGGATGCCAAGTCAGCAAGTCTGGATCAGGGCCAGACTCGTGGAGATGTGAGATGGTGCAAACACAGCTGCTGGCACAGGCGAGGGCCAGCAAAAGCCTCAACTTGAAAGTGGCTCTCAAGGAAAAGGAGAGGCAGGCCCTCACTATGGCTTTTCTCACAACTGCTCTTATCAGTGGAGGAGCTGACCTTGGATTCTGCCAACTAAACTTCTGCAAATCGCTCATGTGCTCGGGGCCATGGCGGTCAGAAGGGTGGAACAGAGCCGTGGAACGTATCCAACACGGGGGTAAATCAGGTTGATGGTGTTCTTCATCAAAACGGTATATGGATGAAAATCCCACTTGAAAGTGGATCGAAGCAAAGTTCAAAGAGCTTATGTTGTTCAGTTCGGGCAAATCAAGAACTCTTGCTGTTAATGATGGCTTCATTAATGAGAAGCATCAAAGGACATCTAAATTATTAACTGATCACACTGATTTAAAGCTCACTGATTTGAGGCTAATTTGTACACGAAAAAAGATCAAATACAATCTTGGGATGTATCAGGGCCATACATTTCTATTAGAGACACTGTACAAGACCTGAATTGAATGTACTAACTAATCACCCATGTTTAACAACGGGGAATTCAAATTAACATATGCACAAAAGGCTCAGTGGGAGAACCAGGAGAACAGTGAGAGTTTCCTGTCTTATGGAAGGAGACTAGAAATAACAGTGGCTAAAATAAAAGGAAGGAGACCAGTAACAACAGAGGTGAAAAAAAAGGGCTAGAGGGGGTACAACAAATGATCAGTTAACTTCAGAAAGAAGAAAAATTAAATTCATAAGCAGCCCTGGTCAGGAAAAATCAGCATAAATAATCCTATATTAAGAACTAAACTAATAAAAGAAATTGTTTGAAAATTGTTAAATAATTTGGCATTCTCCACTTCCAAGGAATGAGATTTTGG